CACCGTACCAATAGAGGAAGTAAAGCACACGGGGACTTTTTTTCGACTTTGTCACAGACAGAGTCAATTTTTACATCATTTGAAAGCGCAAAGTGAGCTGATCAAGCGCACACTACCAAGATCCCAGGCGTCTTGCTGGCGGGCATGTCAGCCCGCAGTAAAGGTGGCGGAGGGCCAGCCTCGAGTGACGTTCAAGGGTCTGGAAAGTGCGGGGAAGCCTCCGAACCAATTGGAAGCCAGTTTCAGTTCTCCGCCCCTCAAATTCGAGGAGGCAGATTGCAGAGTTGGGAGGAACAGCAGGCATACGCCACAAAACCAGTGAACGCAAAGAAGCGGAAGACAGACATAGGTTCAGCCTTTGGCTTGCACGGCGATGAGCTCCTACAAGCGATCGAAGATGCCATTGTGAAAGCTCTACGTGTGCCCCTGGGGCCTAACGCCACCACTGGCTGTACGGAAGACGTGCGATCTCTCCGAGCAGAGGTGGAAGAGATCAGGAAGGGGCAAACGCAACTCACGCAGCTCATGAACACGGTGATGACAGTGTTACGGGCACCAAGGCAGGAGACAGGAGCGAGTCCGCCCCTGTCAGGAAACAGTGCCTTCCCGAGAGGCACAGCGGAGACATCCAACAAAAAAGCACGTCCACTATCGGCGCAAGTGACGCAGCCCAGCTGGGCCAATATCACAGAATCTGGAGCAGGCACTGGATGGACTACGGTCACGAACGGTAAGAAAAAGTTGAAAAAACACCCTCGTGGCCAGCGCCGAGTACTCTTCGTCAGAAATGTACAGTCGCATGATCGCGACCCTAGAGACATTATGTTTGAAGTGAACAAAGCCCTTGCTCATTCGAGGGCCCATGTGACGGTGAGATTGACCCAAATGGCATACACGGGCAAGGGCAACTTGACAGGAGTGATGAGCGAGAATGCATGCGCAGACGAGCTGCTCAGCTATGCACCCGCCGTGATGACTGCTGTGAAGAAGCTAGACCCTGAAGTTGCCTACATGGAAAAGACGGAAAAGTGGCTAAAGCTGCGGGTGCACGGCGTCGCGCTGGATCGCTACATGGGTGAAGGCGGAATGGAAGTAGCCCGAGAGGAGATTGAACTGATGACAGGTGAAAGGTTGCCTTACGCGCCGCGTTGGATCAAAGGCGACACACTGGCTGAACGCTTCGACAGCGGGAGTATCAAGAGGTCGACACTGGTCTTGACCGTGAAAAGCAAGAAGGCGGCGGATGTGATCCTAGCAAAGGGACTGTCCTTTGGAGGCAGACGCCACGAGGTAGAGAGGTTCTGGGAGCGAGGAGAAGGCAGAATATGCATGCGCTGTTGTGGCCGAGACCACTTCGGCCAGTGTACCGAAGATGCGAGGTGCTTTGTGTGTGCAGGAGAACACGAAGGGAGCAAACACGAATGCACCGCCGAAATCTGTAGCAAGAGATCAGGACCGTGTGAGCATCAGGTGGCGAAATGCGCCAACTGCAAGGGGCCACACCCGGCAACATCGAGAAGGTGCCCCGAAAGGAGATCAAGTCACCAGAATCGTCAGCGAAAGGTGAGCGAGATGCGCAGCAGCCCGCCGGCGATGGAATCGGCAGCAGGGCAAGACGATCTCTCCGATCATGGAGATCAGGCAGATATCACAATGACGCCTGCCGACCCAGGACAAGCCACTCAAGCACAGGCGATCCCGACGTCTTCGGACAGGAACACACCAGAGCCACTGCCGCAGAGCCAACCGTCACCCCGACAAACAAGGGAACTCCGGCCAAGGACCAAACAGTTCGCGAGGGCGACCCAGATCCTCAGCTCCAGCGACCCGACGCACATGTTCGTTGACGATGATAGTGATACAACATAACTGCAACGGCACGGCTGTGTCGACGATAGCTGCACTGGAGGCGGCCGTGGAGCGAGGAGCCGAAGTGGTGTGCCTACAAGAACCGTACGTGGGAAAGAAACACGCGATCGGCCATCCGGGATTCCAGATACGGTGGCCAGAGTGTGCGAAGCGAGAGACAAGAGTAGCGCTAGCCATCCGAAACGACGCACTAGACCGCTATGTATTTGAGGAGCGAACTGACCTGGTGGATAGTCCGCATATTCAGTGCCTGGACGTCTGGGAGACAGTGAACCGCAGAAAAGCGCGACGGACGAGGCTGGTAAATGTCTACAACAAAGCCAGAGTCCAAGGCGGCGGATACACGATGGACCACGTAGATGTGTCGCGACTCATCGAGGGCCGGACCATACTCGCAGGCGACTTCAATGCTCGCAGTCCCTTGTGGGATCCGTGGGTGGCAGGTAGGCAGAACGCAGGGACGGTAGAGAGATTGATCGAGAAGCGTGAGCTCATCATCAACAATAACGACCACCAGCCCACGAGGTGTGGGAAGAACTGTAGATCGATAATCGACTTGACCTTGAGTACCCGCAGGGTCGGAGCACTGGTCACATGGGAGATCGACGAGTCACTGGCCACAACATCCGACCACGAGGTAATCGTCTTTGAGTGGGCACCACTCAACGCGGCCGTCGCGGAAAGGCAGATAAACGCTTCGCAAAACTGGAACATCAATCGGCTTTGCTCAGACGAACAGGCCCTCGAAGCCGCAAGCGAACATTGGCTTGAGTTGAGTGAAGGAAGGTCGCTGATCAATGCGTGGGACACGTCACCGACAGAACTGGAAGCCGAAGCACTGTGGATCCAAGACAGCCTACGAGCTGTACTGGACAGACATGCCGCTGGCAGAGCGCCGAGACCACGATCGAAGCACTGGTGGACGGAAGAGATCAAACAGCAGAGAAGGCTGTTTGGGAGCGCTAGACGTGCTTACAATGACGGCCGCACTAGCTTCGACGAGTACCGTCGGGTGAGAAACGACTATTACACACACATCCGGAAAGCCAAGAGACTGGCTTGGGAGCGCTTTCTTGAGGGCGTCTTCCCGACCGACGAAAGCTCGAAATTGGCGTCTGATCCCGCAAGATGCTGGCAAGCGCTCAGATATACGAAACCTCAGGTGCCGTCGCACACACCGGCGATCAAGGTAGCAAGCATTGACGGCCAGCCGGACAAGATTGCATCGACAGCCGAGGAGAAGGAGGGGATCTTCATGGCGCAGGCATTCCCACCCCAAGTCGTGGACAACGAGGACATTCAGATCCCAGACACGAGTGCTGGCGTGAGTGTCAAGCAAGTCCGCGAAGCTCTGTTCACTCAGTCGGTCAACAAAGCCCCCGGTCTGGACGGGATCGGCTTCAAAGTGCTAAGACTCCTATGGCAATGGGCGGAAGACCGTGTGGTAGCTCTTGTACAAGGGTGCATAAGGACAGGGTTCCATCCCTACACGTGGAAGACCGCGAAGGGAGTTCTGCTGCGGAAGCAAAACAAACCCACGTACAGCGTCGCGAAAGCGTACCGGGTGATCAGCCTCCTCAACTGTCTCGGAAAAGTGGTGGAGAGGGCGGTAGCAATTTGGATCGCATCCTACTGTGAGACAAATGAAGTCTTCCATCGAGGGCAGTTCGGCTGCCGTCGGGGGAGAGGGACATCAGATGCGGTGGCTCAGCTGGTCGCAAAGGTCGAGAATGCATGGAGCCAAAAGCGCATTGCACTCGCTTTACTCCTTGATGTCAAAGGTGCGTTTGACAGGGTCAACAAGCAGAAACTCCTGCTGCGGATGATACAAGTCGGGATGGCCGGCAACATCGTGCGATGGGTGAACTCGTTCCTATCAGACCGTCGAGCCATGTTGGTGATTGACGGAAGGACGGGCGAGACCCGCAGCATTCAAGCTGGCCTGCCGCAAGGATCACCGATATCACCGGTGCTGTTCATCTTATCAGTGAGCGCAATGTTCCAGTGGCTGGAGGACAGACACATGAAGCTCCAGGCCATCTCGTTCGTGGACGACATCGGGCTAGTGACAGAATGTGATGACGTGGAAGAAGGCGCGAGGAAGCTCGAGCATATCGCCAGAGATGCAATACAATGGGGATCGGACAATAAAGCCGATTTCGAGGTCAGCAAAACCGAAGTACTCGTCTTCAGCAGGCGTCGAGGGATTCTACAAGCAACAAAAGATGCAGCCATCCGCATCGGAGAGCAGACCTTCACCGTCAAGCAAGAAGCGACAAAATGGCTGGGCTTCTGGCTGGATTCGAAGTTGTCGTTCAAGACGCACTTCGAAAACAGGATCGCAAGTGCCAAAGGAGCCCTCCAGCGGGTATCCAGTCTCAGTAGAAGCAATGGCGGCTTGTCGGCCGACTTGATGCGGAGAGTGGTCGTGGCCGCTGTCACCTCCGTGGCGTTGTACGGGTCAGAGATCTGGTGGAGAGGCCAGAAAGACCGAGTGAAGAAAGTACAGCTGCTGCTGAACAGCCAAGCGAGAGCCATCACAGGGCTGTTGACATCGACCCCTCTGGCCTTTCTTCGGACGGAATCGTGCCTGCCCACCGCACAAGACCTTCTCGACCGTCGCCAGACGTCGTTCGCGGTGCGGGCGCTCAATGCGAATGGAGATCATCCAACGCACCAGCTCCTGCCCGCCAATTTCCGTCTCGGCGAGCTTTATAGACACGAAGGAGCAACGGGTCAGCCGTCTAGCATTGGATGGATGAGAGCAGAAAAGACACACCGATCGTTCGGAAGCAGACTCGCACAGCAGGTAGCGAGGCACGTCAGCTACGACACCGAGTACGGATTCGAGCTGCCTCGCAAGGTGGACTCACCTACAACAAGCCCAGTGATCCGGACCCAAGGCTACTCGCAGATGCCGCAAAGAATGCAACCCGACAATCCGCAGCAACTAACACTGTTCGTGAGCACAACTAAGGATGTTAGTTTTGGTCTGGGGATCGCATGGAGAGAATGCCGTGCGTGGAAGACCAAAATGTCATCGCTGGGTAATCACATCACAACAGCCGACGCGGCGATAGTTGCGATCAGCATGGGTGCGAAGAACCTCATCCCGATACTCTCGAGGACGAATCACCTCCGTGCCGAGATTGTTACGGAGTCGCGGGTTGCATTGGCCGCCATTCAGAGCAGCGAGCAATGGACACCGCCAGTCGTCACCGGTATCAAAAGACACGCACACGGTGTCGAAGAAGCAGGAGGCCGAGTGGTTTTGACGTGGCTCTCAAATTGCGAAGATGTTGAGGGCTACAAGATAGCCCGAGCCGCGGCACAACGAGCGGCAAAGCAACAACCCAAAGAGATGCGATCAGCCTCGCTGTCGTACGTGAAACAAGCCATTAAGGAGAGGTGGAAGCCAACTGCCAAGATGAACAAACACATCGAAGATGCGAGGAAGTCAGTTGCAGCTCGATACCTGCAGCTCAAGTCCGGTCATGCTGTCACGGGAGCTCACCTGCTAAGGATCGGCAAAGTCGAGGACGCACAGTGCTGGTGGTGTGGCGAGAGCAGTCAAACCGTCGCTCACCTCTTGCTGGAGTGCCGGAAGTGGCGAAGGCAGCGGGACACTATGCTGCGGAAGCTGCGCGCGAGAAAGCTCTCGATCAGCAGACGGCGAAACCTAGCAGACCTGAAGACAATGTTCGCAAATAAAACTATCATAGAGGTCCTTCAATTTATTGAAAACACAGAAGTGGGCAAGAAGCCGGTTGGAGATGCCAACAAGAATGACTCGTGGGACATCGAACGTTTGGATCGGAGTGCAGATGAGGAAGACAGGATGTTGGAGGACGGAAGGGGCTAAGGGGAAAGATGAGGAGTGATAACGACAGGAAAGTAGGAGGGCACCAAGCCCGAAAGCAGTGGCGACTTGGTGAAGTCGGGACAGCGAGCAAGTTTGTGCGGACGATTACCGAAGCGAGAGCACACGTGGAAGTCATAGAGATGGTCGCGATATTTGCCGACATGCCATAAGCTATATAGCTTGAATGCAGTATGATTAAAAAAAAAAAAAAAAAAAAAAAAAAGTGTTTGACCCAAA